CCTGGCTGGGAAAGTCTTAATAGCAAGAGAAAATAAGTGGCTGGTTATGAACTGGGATGACCAGAGTTGCAGAAATTGGGCTCAGAGAGTGTAGAGAGAAATAGAAGCTTACCCTGGGGGAACTAAATATACCAGGAAGTCCATAAAAGCACAATTCCAGACCTCAGCTCTAAGCCAGAGGCACAGAAACGGACTCTTGCCTTTACACAGTGCCAATCTGAGCAGCGTGAGACTCTATTGGTTATTTACCTCTAGTCCATCCAGTCACACCTCAGATTTGCTCCACATGCTGTCAAGCTTAGTCAAATTGACCAAAAGCAGGGAAAAGGATGGCAGAAAAGAAGCGCTACCAGAAACAAAGAGAAGGGAAAGCTAGTGAAAATGTGACATCTTATTTTTGACAAGAAGTCATACTACTTTCGGGGACACGTACAATCTTTTCATTTCCATGAGTTCTTTCTCCAAGGCCTCTAGATACTCTGATTACTGTCATTAGACTCCTCAAAATCCTGTATTCTCTTCATGTCTATGGAATAAAGTGCAGACATCTCAGTCTGGCCCTTGCAAAGGTTCCTACTTACCTACATCCACATATGTGTTAGACAGACTCAGAAACAGAGCAAGCCTTTGCCTGTGTGTAGAAGGCACATGATGACTGTTGGCCTCCATAGTGGATATTACTGGTTGCTTATCCAGCACTCATCTAGTTTACTTGTTCCTTTCACCTATAAGAATGCTTGTTCAACTACATGCTGAACAAAGGAATTGTTCCTTTAACCTTTCATTGTTCTACATGCACTTATCCTACATGCAGAAATGCATCTTGTTGGGGAAGGGAGGACTCAATTAGTGTAAGAATAATCTAGAACCACTCATCAGTGATTGGTTCAGGCAAGTCCTACAATTCAGCTCTGGCTGATGAAACGTGAGATGTGCTTCTGCAAAAATTTCCTTGCTCTGGAAAGTCACAGGGAGAGGCCAAATCTGTCATTTGATGTTCCATGTTCAGCTGTGAATCCTGGAAGTAAGCCAACCCCAAGGATGGATGAGCAGAGAGATGGGAAAAGCTTGTGTCCTTCGTGGCATTTCCAGCTGCCGAAGCAACTAACTCACAAACCCAGCCTACCTCTGTAGATCCTACTAGAGAATGTCATCAAGTTCCTTGTTTTAAAACAGTTATGTCAGCATTTCAACAACTTTCAGCCAAAAGCATTTCACACAATTCCACGCCACCCTTACTTTCTGTTTTAGCCTATTTCCAGCCTGGATCTTCACATTTCCAGGTCCCCAGCAAACACACCTGTGCTTCTCTATAAATGCCTTGATATCTCCCTCCCTCTGACTGGCCATTAAAACCGTGACTATTAAAAACCTCACTAGGGCTGGGCGTGGTGGCTCATGCATGTAATCCCAGCACTTTGGGAGGCTGAAGCAGGGGGATTGCTTTAGTTCAGGAGTTTGAGGCCAGACTGAGCAACATTGCGAAACCCTGTCCCTACAAAACAAAAAAACTAGCCAGGTGTGGTGGTGCACACCTGTGATCCTAGCTACCAGGGAGGCTGAGGTGGGAGGATCACCAGAGCCTGGGAGGTCAAGGCTGCAGTGAGCCATAATCATGCCATTGCACTTCAGCCTGGGCAACAGAGTGAGACCCTGTCTCAAAAAAAAAAAAAAAAAAAAAAGCCTCACTAAAACACCACTACCCCTGATATGGTTTGGATGTTGTCCTCTCTGGATCTCCTGTTGAATTGTAATCCTCAATGTTGGAGGTGGGGCCTGGTGGGAAGTGCTTGGGTCATGAGGGTGGATCCCTCATGGCTTGGTGCTGTCCTTGCAATAGTGTGTAAGTTCTTGAATGATCTGGTTGTTTGAAAGTGTGTGAGTGTGTGGTGCCTTCCCCACCTTTTTTTTTTTTTTTTTTTTTTTTTTTTTGAGACAGAGTTTTGCTCTTGTCATCCAGGCTGGAGTGCAATGGCATGATCTCAGCTCACTGCAACCTCTACCTCCCAGGTTCAAGTGATTCTCCTGCCTCAGCCTCCCGCCACCAAAATTAGCATGTGCCACCACGCCCAGCTAATTTTGTATTTTTAATAGAGATGGGGTTTCACCATGTTGGTCAGGCTGGTCTCGAACTCCCCATCTCAGGTGATCCGCCCACCTCGGTCTCCCAAAGTGCTAGGATTACAGGCGTGAGCCACGGTGCCCAGCCCCTTCCCCACTTCTTGCTCCTGCTCTGGCCTTGCGACGTGCCTGCTCCCCCTTTACCTTCCACCATCAGCAAAACTTCCCAGGCCTCCCCAGAAGCCGAGAGGATGCTGGCGCCATGCTTCCCGTACAGCCTGCAGAACCACAAGCCAATTAGATCTCTTTTCTTCATAAATTACCCAGCTTCAGGCATTTATTTATAGCAACACAAGAATGGCCTAACACAACCACTAAGAATTTTTTCCTGATAACCTACTCTCAGCATTCAGCTGCCAGAAAGTTCTCCCATTTTTGAATTCCACAAGCCCTTGACTTGTGTATCTCTTAGGCATTTTAAATATTCTAGTTTGCATCGGTTATTTGTGCGAATGCCATCTCTCTTTTCTAACTGGAAAACATGGGTCATATCATATATATCTTTGTAGTCACTCCCTCTTAGAAGAGAGCCCTGTGTTTAACGCAAAGCACTAGAAATTTGTTGAAGGAAAGCAGATATTACCTGACGGATTTACCCCCCGCAGCCTCTGAGAACTCACCCAGAACTCATTGGTATAATCATGAAAGTAAGAATACTAATTATGTAGTTGATTCTTAAAATGTCACCTCCACATGAGAAATGTACGAAAGTGAAATTTTAACAATATGGTCCCTCTGGTAGGTTTGATTGAATAAAATGTAATGATAACGATTGAATTACATTGTAAACAATAATATCGGTTGCCTGGTAAAACTCTTTGCATTTAAAATATAAGAGCAAATAATTTAGAGATCCTGGCTGTGGCATTCACTGGAATAAAACAGTCAGATGCCCAAATTCAAAAACAAATTCACAGCAAAATGGGAACAAAAGATAGTGCAGAAATTATGCTCTCAACTCATTTGATGAAATATTGACTGATAGGATTTATAATACTGTGATAAACCTAATGAATTCGGGAATTGCCATTTTGGTATGAGATGAAGTTTATATTTTACACTGTGAAGTGGCATTAGAATTACGACTCTTTACTCTCCAAAATCACAGGTCATGACACTTGCATTTCTCTTTTATGGAGTCTTTTAAACAATGACTTTATTCACTAATCTCTCACCGATGTTTCACTGTAAGGATACAGCCAAAGTTGGAGAGACACTAACTTCATCACATTTTATTTTGACTTAAAAGATGTTTATTTTGTTTTGTTTTGTTTTTTTGTTTGAGACTGAGTCTCGCTCTGTCACCCAGGCTGGAGTGCAGTGGCGCAATCTCGGCTCACTGCAACCTCTGCCTCCTGGGCTCAAGCGATTCTCCTGCCTCAGCCTCCCGAGTAGCTGGGATTACAGGCATGCGCTACCACACCCAGCTAATTTTTGTATTTTTAGTAGAGACGAGGCTTCACCATTTTGCCCAGGCTGGCCTCGAGCTCCTGACCTCAGGTGATTCACTTGCTTTGGCCTCCCAAAGTGCTGAGATTACAGGCGTGAGCCACCACACCCGGCCTTGACTTAAAAGATTTTACACATGCAGAAAATCACAGAGGATAATATTATGGATACTCCATATACCCAGAATCCTGATTCAACATGATAATATTTTGCCACAGTTGTGTTCAATTTTTCTAACAAGATAAAACATTACAGATAAAATCAGTACGTCTCCCTCATCCAGCTCCCTTTTCTTCCCTCCCAGAAGCAAGCACTATGCTGAAGTTGACAGATTTCCTGTTCACGTTTCCCTACTTTTGCTACATAAGATGAATCCGTCAAGAACACGTAGCATTGTTTTGAGTGGCATCATACCATACAGTCTGAACTAGTCTACCTGGATTCCCATTCCAGGCCTGTCACTTATTAGATGACCTGGGGCAAATTATCTAACCTCTCCACACTTCAGTGCTCTTGTTTGTAAAATGCTGATAATTATATTTTACTTCACAGAGTTTTTGTGATGATTAAATGAGATAAAATGGAGATGCTGCTTAACACCATGCCTGGTACATAGAAAGAACTATGTGTTTGCTCTGACGATGATGTTGACGATAATGATGATAACTTCAATTTACACAGATGTCATCATAGCATAATATTCTTTTACAAGTTGCTCTTACGAGATTTATCAGAAGAGCTTCTGTAGATCTAATTCTTTTATTTAATTATCCTCGGTGCACTATTATTTGAATAAGCCAGGCTTTATACACTCCATTCTGCTATTGATTCCCTATGTTGTTTCTGAATTTTAGCTATTAAAAAATAAAAAGACATGCACACATATGTTTATTGCAGCACTATTTACAATAGCAAAGACTTGGAGCCAACCCAAATGCCCATCAATGATACACTGGATAAAGAAAATGTGGCACATATATACCATGGAATACTATGTAGCCATAAAAAAGAATGAGTTCATATCCTTTGCAAGGACATGAATGAAGCTGGAAACCATCATCCTCAGTAAACCAACACAGGAACAGAAAACTACACACTGCATGTTCTCACTCATAAGTAGGAGTTGAACAATGGGAACACATGGACACAGGGAGGCAAACATCACACACCAGGGCCCATTGGGGAGTGAGGGGCAAGGGGAAGGTGAGCATTAGGACAAATACCAAATGCATGTGGGGCTTAAAACCTAGATGATGGGTTGATAGGTGCAGCAAACCACCACGGTACATGTATACCTATGTAACAAAACTGCATGTTCTGCACATGTATCCCAGAACTTACAGAAAAAAAAGAAAAAAAAAGCGAGAAATTTTTCATCAGGCAAGAAAAAAAAAAAAACAACCTTCAATGGCTATCTTTGTGCATGTTTTTATTGTTTTTACCCACACACTTGAAAAATAATTTAGCTGGGTATAGAATTCTTCACTCCAAGTTATTTTCCTTCATGACTTTAAAGTGAACCTGATTCCTGTTTTTTGTAGGTTTATATGCTTCTTTCTTGAAGATTTCAGGATTTTCTTTGAAGTTTTACCACAGCATATCTGGTAAGAGGTTGTACTAAAAAAAAAACGTATTTCTCTGTTTATCATTCTATACACGCTTTCAGACTGAGAACTAATGTTTTCCTTCAAAATTGAGAAAAAAATGTCAATTATTTTCTGAAATATTGACTCTCGTTTAATTTTTTTATTCAGTTAATTTAGAAATTCTATGAAAAGGATTTTGTTACTTCTGGATACATTATTTATCCCAATATTTATTTCATATTTTGTCTCTCTATCCCTTCCTGTGATATTCAGAACACATTTTTATTCAAGCTCAAAATCCACTACTTTGTGATTTGGTTATGTTCATTATGATTTTCTCATGTTTTATTTTTAATTTAGGCAAAATTTATGTAGAATAAAATGTGCAGGCCGGGTGCCGTGACTCACGCCTGTAATTCCAGCACTTTGGGAGGCCGGGGCGGGTGGATTGCCTGAGCTCAGAAGTTTGAGAGAAGCCTGGGCAACACAGTGAAACAACATCTCTACTAAAAATACAAAAAATTAGCCAGGTGTGGTGCCGTGTGCCTGTAATCCCAGCTACTTGGGAGGCTGAGACCAGAGAATCGCTTCAGCCTGGGAGGTGGAGGTTGCAGTGAGCCGAGATCACACTACTGCACTCCAGCCACGGTGACAAGGCGAAACTCTTGTCTCAGAAAAAAAAAAAAAGTACAACTATTAAGTGTAAATCCAATGACTTTTGATAGGCATAAACAATACCCGAATCAAGAGTTACATTTTCGGCTGGGTGCAGTGGCTCATGCCTGTAATCCCAGAACTTTGGGAGGCTGAGGTGGGCAGATCACTTGAGGTCAGGAGTTCGAGATCAGCCTGACCAACTTGGCGAAACCCGTTTCTACCGAAAGTATAAAACTTAACCCGGCATGGTGGTGGGCACTTGTAATCCCAGCTATTCAGGAGGCTGAGGCGGGAGAATCACCTGAACCCAGGAGACGGAGGTTGCAGTGAGCTGCGCTAAGGTCGGGCCACTGCACTCCAGCCTGGGTGACAGAGTCTTAGGGTCTGGCCCTGACTCTAGAACATGGGGCTTACTCATAAGGCAGGGCTTTTCCAGGGTCTCAATCTAATATCTTATGTTTTTAGCAAGGGTTCTCCACTCTGGATGGGCCATAATCCCAACGCCTCCAAACTCTGCATGATCTGTAATATCTCTGTCCAGCTCTCAGTCTCCCAGCAGCAGGCTTCACACAATCAGGCCCTGTACATGTGCTTCCCAGTTCTTGGCCCAGGATCTGAGGGCCGTCTCCATGAAGATTTCTTGGGGCTCAGCTCTGCAAGGCTCCCCGCCTTTCTGGTGCCATGCCTCCACCAATTCTAGCTGCTTCCAAAATGCTTTTCCAGTAATAGGTGATAATATTGGGCAGCTCCATCTTGTTTCTGATTTTAATAGGAATATCTTTCGTATTTCACTATTTGTTGGTTTCTGATGAATACTTCATCTTGTTTAGAAATTTCCTTCTAGTCTTTTACTTAGAGATTTTACCACAAACACTTACCAAATTATATTAATTGCTCCTTTGTCATATATTGGTATAATCCTATATTTTTCTTCTTAATTTGTTAATGGGATAGATTATGTTGATAAACTTCCTAATGAACAGTGAATCTTCAATTCCTATAATAAATCCTTATTTTATACACCATTAGGTATGCTTTAAAATTTTTCAGGTCCTTAACATTTAAATTACTAAAACAGAATGATAATAAACTTTAAACTATAAGGGCCTTTTTTTAAGAAAAGAAGGAAAAATATTTGCACTAAGCCTATAAAGACAAGTTGATTAATCATAGTGAAAATAAGTTAATTCTGCCTTTGTCTACTTGTATCTCTGAGACCATTGCAATATTAACCCATTTATGCCAGAGGTTGCACATTTTTTTGTGTGAAAAATCAGACCTTGAGCAGCAGGATAGAAATAACTCTCACAAGCTTACTTTCCAATAATGGAACACTAGGTTAAAGACTAAGTTGATACTGTGAAGAGTGAAAAGAACTTGGAATCCTAGCTATGCCGCTTATGAATGAGTGATCTTGTTTAAGTCACTTACCTTCTCTGAGGTTCAGTTACCATCTCTCTGTAAAATGGGCGTGAACATCACCCATAATCTGCAAGGTAAATGCGAGCATCAAATGTGGTGATGAGTGTTTTGTAAATGGTAGGTTACTGGCCAATGTTAGTGGCTATTCTTTATTACAAGCGGTCCCCAAGGACTACACAGCTGACATGGGATGTTACCTGTTTAGAAATGGGCTGTGGGAAGATTCTCCTTTGATTCTTGTTGTCACTCCTACTACTGGGTTCACTTGTCCTGGCTGCTGGGGAGCGATCCCTGAGGGTCAGATTTTTGTTTGGAGAGCCATGAAAGGAAAAAAGTAATCCACGCTCATTTCCAAGAAGAGAGGGAAAAAAAGGAAAAGGGAAGCAAAAAATTATCTGCTTCTGAGTGGGAAAGGAGGACAGAAATGTAAAGGAAAGTCACAGCTAGAGACAGGGACTGCAGCAAAGGCAGTTTATACCTTGCTAGGTGTACTCTTGCTAGGAAGATTTTACGGTTTTTCCTAAAGAAACAATGGGAAATTTTATTAATACTCCAATTCAACTGCCTCCAAACTTGCATACATTTTCACAGGCAGGCCTGGAAGTGAATGCATTTTGGATTAGAAAAAATTTGCAAAAGATTTTGTAACAAAACTCACCACTCTGTTTCTACCCAGATCCTTTAAATACATCTCACCAGCTAAGGCTTGAAATGCCTAGACCTATGACAGTAATACTTATTAAGGGTTCTATGTGGGAAGGGAGCTGAAGAATGGTCATGAAGCCCCAGGAGACACAGCTGAGGAAAGCAGCTATCTCGTTTCGGAAAGCCATGCAAATGCTTCAGAATGGTCTTTGATGAACAGTCACCAAAGCCCAGTTGATAGACTCAGGGCTGCTCGGATATTAGGCAATATGGATAATGGAGAGTTCCAGGCAATTTCAGAGTTGAAAGTGTCTTAAAGAAAATCCAAGGAAGCTTATTCCTGGCTAGGTAGCCCAAGATTTATAGGTACCCAGACATAGTAATTCAACAAATGCGCATATTTTCCCCTCAACCTGAGGCTCTGAGCAAAACAACTACTAAGTATAATGTTAGGAAGGAAGCACATTCACTTGAACTAATTGAACTTATGTTTCAGATAATGGGTCAGCGAAGTTCCCAGAAAAGTTCAGCTTTTCTTCTCATTCCTCTTTCCTCTGAATTTAAATCCTTAGTTTTCCTAGGAGTTTCAGTATTCTAGGAGATCTGATTTGCCTAAACTGGAGGCAAAGAAAGACCCTCTGCATTTATAACAAGAGCAGAGCATGTTTAATGGTTCAGTTCGAAAACACTCAAGACAGCTAAAGGAGAGGTTGGGGTGATAGGCAGCTATGTGTCGGCAGTGTGATACACTTAGGACATGTTCTACTTTTTATTTGTAATGTTATATGTTTCATTGGTAGCCTGGTTTGTTGTTTTTCAGGAGAATCACTGCAAAGATAAAAATATGCTTTAATGTTGCTATTCTTTTCGCATTTACAATCCAGGGAAGAGGCCTGTCTGCTTTTCCATTTGTCTCCCTTGGGAGACACAAAATTGATTTATGAAGTTGGATTAGCTTGGGTTGATGCAAACAGGTCAGATACTATTCAAAAATAGTGATGGATAAAGGATTAAAAAAAGAAAACAAGATGCCAGGAGAAAAAAAATAAGGGAGAAGTGAAAATAATGATTAATGTTAATGATGCTGTTGTAACTGAGATTTTTAAAGGCTGCAAAACATTGAGAAATCAAACTAATGACCTGGAAAATAAATTCAGATGAAGAAATATCAGGTTGGAGGATAATCTTGATGGGGTGGAAGTAAGAGAAACAGTGACCTTCCTTTTCCCCCCAACATACAACGTTGCCAAAACTGCTTTGGATGAATAATTTTTAATCCCTTCCACAAGCCATATCTTCATTTCCCCACAACTTGAGGCAGGAACAGCAATTCTTATTTTGTGTGTGGGATGAGAAATTCTTGGAGGGAAATGGCAAATATAATATCTTAATTTCCTCTAGTTCTGATGGCTTTTTGCTTCTGTGGAGAAGCTGACCAAGCCGCCCACTTTGATTGTTTTCTAAAATGTAGGGTTTCAAACAAAGTTATTAAGAGTCTAAAGACTGGCCGGGCACAGTGGCTCAGGCCTGTAATCCCAGCACTCTGGGAGGCCAAGGTGGGTGGATCACCTGAGGTAAGGTCCTGGTGAAACCCTGTCTCTACTAAAAATACAAAAATTAGCCAGGTGTGGTGGCACACAGCTGTGATCCCAGCTACTCGGAGGCTGAGGCAGGAGAATCGCCTGAACCTGGGAGACAGAAGTTGCAGTGAGCTAAGATCATACCGTTGCACTCCAACCTCAGCGACAGAGTGAGACTTCATCTCAAAAAAGAAAAAAAAAGAAAGAAAGAAAAGAAAAATAGTCTAAAGATTATGAGACAAATACTTATCTGGTTGGCTGCAATTATCATATTTAAAACATAAAGTCCCTTGGACTGTTAATAAGTCTTTTCCAGATTGTGCTGAATCAAAGTAATTTTCGAATAGTAAAGAGGAAAGTGTTTGAGAAAGGAAGTGAGACTAAAAAAACATTTTCTTTTCTTCCTGATCCTGCCTGGAAATTTCCAGGATCTGTTCTGTAGTCACAGCCAGTAGTCTGCCCTAATAATAGATAACAGCAATTGAGCATTTACCCTATGCCAGACACTGTTCTAAGTATAAATTCAGTTAGTCTTCAACACAATTGAAGGAGGTAGATATTATTATTGCCTCCATTTTAAAGAGGAGAAAGGCGTGCTGCAGAAGGGATAAGTCGTTGCCTGAGGTCACACAGCTATTACAAGAGAGGCAGGATTCATATCCGAGCTATTCTGGCTCCAGAATCCACACTTTCAACCACAATACTGTGGTTCTGTGTTATATAAAGACACTGAGATTTAAAAAAGAATCTATTTCTGGCCATTTTTGAAAAAATATATTTATTGAACCCAAGAATAGTTATTTTAGCAATAGGAAATCTCTTTTTTGTTACCCATTCATTTCATAAAATGAGTTTAAACACAAAACAGGCCAGAGTCTTTGCACTGCCAAAAAAAACAGTACAATAAGGTGTGGAGAGAGAGGGAGACGCCAATGTTTAGGAAGGACTTTGTCCTACCTCCCTGACTTGAATAGGACTGACTCTGATATATTCCTTTTTAAAAAATATAAAGAGTTCAAGACCAGCCTGACCAACATGGAGAAACCCCATGTCTATTAAAAATACAAAATTAGCTGGGCGTGGTGGCACATGCCTGTAATCCCAGCTGCTTGGGAGGCTGAAGCAGGAGAATCGCTTGAGCTTGGAGGTTGCAGTGAGCTGAGATCGCACCATTGCACTCCAGCCTGGGCAACAAGAGTGAAACTCCGTCTCAAAAAAAAAAAAAAAATTATATACATATATATATATATACACAAAATGAAAATAACTGACTTTAAAAATCAATGTAAATGCATTTCCTTTGACATAATGGCTGGTTTAAATTACTCAGCAATAGTGATTAATGCAACAAATGTTTTAACTAGGAGTATGGAAGAAAGGATATCTTCTGAACCACGTAAGTCAGAAGGTGTGAGAAGCTCCTGAGTTACCAGGGACAGAGACACTCTTAGAAGAGAAGAATGGCTGGCTAATCCACCCATCAGAGCCACTGGACGTGTGGTATCTCTTGACATGATGGGCATCTCAGCACCACAGGGATAGAAACAGAATGTGTCTCTGCCACCCAAAGAATAATTTAAGCAGCCTCTCAAAATGGTCAAAGTGGCTATAAATCAGCTAATGTTCCTTGAAGAGTGGTGGGTTCAGCAAAATAGGTCAAAGTAGAAAAGATTAGCCCACAAAATATAGCAGAGTATCGTACAGAATCAGGAACTCAGAAAAGAGACAAAAGGACAGCCACTTCCTGTCCCAGCTACTTTTACACCTAATGCTGTTTTCTTCCTGCTTCTCAAGGTACAGTGTTGGCCACAAAAGTGGAAGAAATGGTGACTCACACCTGTAATCCCAACACTTTAGGAGGCTGAGGTGGGTGGATCACCTGAGGTCAGGAGTTCAAGACCAGCCTGACCAACATGGTAAAATCCCATCTCCACTAAAAATACAAAATTAGCTGGGTGTGGTGGCAGGAACCTGTAATCCCAGCTACTTGGGAGGCTAAGGCAGGAAAATCGCTTGAATCCGGGAGGCAGAGGTTGCAGTGAGCAGAGATTGCATAGTTGCACTCCTGCCTGGGCGACAAGAGTGAAACTCCATCTCCAAAAAAAAAAGAGAGATGGAAAAAAGAGTCCTTGTGATTTGAGAGCTCTGTCGGTGAGGGGAGAGTCACCTCAAGTAATAGGCATAAGGATTCAGAAGAAATAAAAATTAAAAACCATGGCATTCCATAAGAACTCAGCAGCAATAGCTGTGTATCTCATACATCATCGCTTAGAGTCAAAAGAAGACATCAGTTTAGACCTATACTTTCCACATTGATACTAAGGAAAAGTAATTTTTTATAGTTTTTAAATAATTTTCTGGCTGTGTGAAAGAAAATTCCTCAAAATTTTGCATGAGAAGATGTGGGTAAAATAACTTCAGAAGTTATCTCTTTTGCAAGGAGACAGTGCCCTTGCAATTTTATTAATTATTTATTATAATATGAGTTAAAACCACGTTTGATGAAAATGCAGCCATAGCAGTGATTATTCCAGTGGATAAAGAATCCAGATTTTGTGCTTGGAGACACAGGCAACGTAGGTATAAAAATCTCCTGGCAGATACTTCTATCTGTGAAATGCGGACAACACTTTTAGGGATTTGCAATAGTGGAGGTTAATGAGATGGAGGCGTTCAACATTCATTCTGCACCTACACAATGCCAGCCTTGACAGCCTGTGAGTAGACATTTCAGACCCGTAGGTGCTGCCATGTGCAAGGCATTACTCTCAGTTGTGATTTTTAAATTATGGATTTATGTTGAGCAGTTTTTATTGCAGGCTGCACGTGAAGCCTCCTAGAGGCATTTTACCTCATGCTTTATGGTGTGGCAAAAATGACCATCAACATTATGCAAATCCAAAGAACGATGGAGGTTTGGTTAGGTTTCATGTGAGACACGAGATTTCAGGATGATCCACATTTCTAATTTGGTCAATAAAATGCCAATTTACAACTGGGATGAAGAATTTAAATTCTACTAAATATTGATGTCCTTGTAAGGTATATTCTGTTTATATTTTCCAAAGTCACACACCTTATCACTTTATCATGAAATTAATCAGGGATCATCAGAGAAACAGACCAATGGGACGTACGCACAGAGAGAGAGAGAAAGAAGAGGAAAAATTTATTATGATGAGTTGGCTCACATGATTACGGAGGGTAAAAAGTCCCATGGCTTGTGGTTTGTAAACTGGAGACCAAGGGAAGCAGTGGTGTAATTCTAGTCCAAGTCTGAAGACCTGGGAACCAGCGGAACCTAATGTGTGAGCCCTAAGGGCAAGAGAAGGCCAATCTCCCAGCTCAGGCAGGCAGCAAGTAAGAAGGGAATGAATATAACCTTCCTCCACTTGTTGTTCTTTTCTTTTCTTTTCTTTTCTTTTTCTTTTTTTTTTTTTTTTTTGAGACAGTCTTGCTGTGTTGCCCAGGCTGGAGTACAGTGGCGAGATCTCGGCTCACTAAAATTTCCGCCTTCTGAGTTCAAACAATTCTCCTGCCTCAGCCTCCCCAGTGGCTGGGATTACAGGCATGTGCCACCATACCTGGCTAATTTTTGTATTTTTAGTATCGAAAGGGTTTCACCATGTTGTTCAGGCTGGTCTCAAACTCCTGACCCCAAGTGATCCGCCCACCTTGGCCTCCCAAAGTGCTAAGATTACAAGCATGAGCCACCGCACCCAGCCAACCTCCACTTGCTGTTCTCTTCAAGCCTTCAGTGGGCTGGATGATGCCAACTCACACTGGGGAGGGCCATCTACTTTCCTGAGTCCGCTGATTCAAATGCTGACCTCCTCAGTAAATATCCTCACAGAGACACCCAGAAATAATGTTTAATGTGGGCACTCTATGGTCAAGTCAACACATAAAATTAACCATCACAACACCCCTTCATTAAAAGTTAGAACAGAAATCTTTATAAATATCTCATAAAGAGCCAAGTACCTTGACCAATTCCACAGGTAGTGAGAGGTGGAAGCCAAGTTACAGACCCAAAGAACTCTGATCTCAAAGCCACTGCTCTTGGCACAATATCACAATTTAAAGGTTAGCTAATTTAATGTTTTGCCTTTTTTACTTAATATTGTCCCAAAGCACACTAAATGCTGAACTTTCTTCAGGGGAAGTATACTGTTTTATCAAATACCCCAGCCAACAGTATTTTTAAACATTAAAAAATACATATCTTGGCCGGGCGCAGTGGCTCATGCCTCCCAAAGTAATTCCAGCACTTTGGGAGGCCAAGGCGGGCGGATCATGAGGTCAAGAGATCGAAGCCATCCTGGCCACCATGGTGAAACCCCATTTCTACTGAAAATACAAGAATTAGCTGGGCATGGTGGTGTGCGCCTGTAATCCCAGCTATTCGGGAGGCTGAGGTGGGAGAACTGCTTGAACCCGGAAGGTGGAGGTTGCAGTGAGCCAAGATTGCATCATTGCACTCCAGCCTGATGATAGAGTGAGACTTCATCTCCAAAAAAACAAAAAACAAAAAACAAACAAACAAAAACATATCTTGTGGAATGCCAGTGTTGGGGGTGAAGGTCGGGGATGCTGGGATGTTTGCCCTATGGCTTCTGGACTCTTGGAAGCACATATGTTGGATGCTCTGCATCCGGCTCTCCTCGAGCCTGGTTGGGGTTTTACATAGTTAATGGGAGGGGCCAATGACCACTCCTTTCTTTAGTTCTAGAGAGTCAGAGAACGGTTACATTTTAGTTGGAAGGGAGACAGAATTCCCAGGAGGAATACTTAAGTAACAAGATAAGAGAAAGAGATGGAAATTTATTTCCCGGAGATGGCTGAGGAAAGAAAGAGTAATATCGAATCCAGCCAGCATGTTTCAAACGTGTCTTTGCACTAAGATGGGTATATGTGGGTGTATATTGGCTGTTTCTAAGCTTTAGATCTGTAGGGAATGAAAAAACGTAAAATGTCCTCTCTTCCCCCACAAAAGAGTAATTCAACATAATATGATTCAAAGCAGGGTTGAATAATACTAGCACCCAGGTTGTTCTGTGACATGGATTTTATAATTACAGGATTGGAAATCTTCAGTTTTCCCCTAAATGTCCACCCAACCTCCTCTGAGACCTTCCTTTACTGGTGCTCCGTTCTTTCCCAGAAAGCAGATTGGCTGTTTTATTTTTCAAATGCTGTGTTTTCTGTACTCCCTAATTTCTTTCTAGGAATCCATTTCACCCCCCGCCAACAAAGATACAAATGTTCCTTGTCATGCACACACCTCACATGTAGATTTACTCCACAGTTACTGAAACATCAGATTCACTGAACAGTTTTTAAATTAATTTCAAATTCAGTCTCAACCTCTCTGGCAAAGCGAGACCTGCAACTTGGATCACGTGTCTCAAGTAGCCCCCACCTCCCCGCCCAGCAATAAGATCTATTTTCACTGCAGAAGCACATGCATTGCCCCATGCTGACAGTCACTTGTTTTAGCATTGGCTAATCACCAATATGTTCTGTTAAGTGAGATTCATAGATGCTGATTGCATTTATTGCATAAATTACTTCATTATTAAAATCAGGTCATTTGAGCCCCCAAACCATTAACATGAAGACTATTAACATAATTTCATAAGCTGATAAATCAAGCACAGGAAAAGAATTAAAGGGTTCTTAGTGATAAGTGTTTCTTCAGAGATTAAGGAACACAATTTTCTTATGCATATATTAACATTTTATGAGTGGATTCATGCAAGAGCAGTTTTTTCTCTGCATACATGACTCACTTCATCTTCTCCACACTTGGCCTCTGAAGCTAGTTTTCAAAATTAAGGGGTTTTTTTTTTTCCCTTTCAAATAACTGTAATGCAATTTTTGATTGAACTCATTAGCTTTCTGTGATATGTACTACCTATGAAATTCCTATCTTTTCACATTTCTTAGGCTGCAAAAGCTTTAGGGTGAGGAGAGCAGGGAAGGTAAAGTTGGAAGAAAGAATACCTTAGATTTGTTTTAGATAGTGCAATTTTCATTCTAGGTGAATTTCAAATGTATTCCTAGTCTTAAGAGGTTCTGGTGAAGTTCTAATTATCTCTCTAATTACAACACATACTGAGGTTAAGTGTTCTTATCAAATGGTGCATTAAAAATGGGTTTTATTTCCAGGCTAGATGTAATAGGCTGTGATACTGGCCTGAACACACAGAAATTGGTTCCCTCGTTCATTTCACTTACCAGATTGTGAAAGATTCTGGAGGTCGGAGCCATCATTATCCAGTGCAATGATGTTGCCTAGAAACGAAGATAAGTTCCAATGTAAATTAGACTATAACAACTTTATCCTTTGTGCAATTTGTGTAATGTTTTAGCAAATAGCAAATGATGAATCATAATTGAAGTATGCAGAATGCCATTAGCAGGCATCGTGTTTGATTTTATAGGTGAATTTGGGCGACTGGTGGAGCCGATGGTTCTTTCTAGGAACAAGTGTAGTGACCAAATCAAACTTCGACATTTTCTAGTGACTACGAAGAGTCCCCTGAATAAAGTTCAAAATACCCTGGACTCTCTCGTGTGTGCCTGTTTACAACCCTTTGACAGCTTCTTATTGCTCTCAGAATTCAAAACAAAACAAAACGAAATTTCTCAACACAGCTTCCAACCCCCACAATGGTCTAGCCTGACCTTCATGGTCCAGCTTCATCTCACAGCTTTCTTCACTATGCTGCTTGCTTTCAGTTCTTTGTTAATGCCAGTTTCCTTCCCATCACAGGGCTTTCACACAGGCTTCCTTCTCGGATTCTTCAAGTTCTGGGCTACAGGTGCAGAATGTGCAGGTTTGTTACGTAGGTATATACGTGCCATGGTGGTTTGCTGCACACATCAGCCTGTCATCTACATCAGGAATTTCTCCTACTGCTATCCCTCCCCTAGCCCCTCACCCACCGACAGGCCCCGGTGCGTGATGTTCCTCTCCCTGTGTCCATGTGTTCTCATTGTTCAACTCCCACTTATGAATGAGAACATGTGGTGTTTGGTTTTCTGTTCCTATGTTAGTTTGCTAAGAATGAGGGCTTCCAGCTTCATCCATATTCCTGCAAAGGACATGAACTCATTCTTTTTTATGGCTGCATAGTATTCCATGGTGTATATGTGCTACATTTTCTTTATCCAGTCTATCATTCCTTCTCAGATTCTAATGCTCTTCTCTGCACTTTGAACCCATTAGCTTCTATTTATTCTCCAGATCTCAGCTCAAGAGCCACTTCCTTAAGGAAGCTTTCTCTGATCTCTTTGATTGAGTCAAATCTTTCTTTCTTGGCTGTGATAAGATATCTATATCTATATACCTGTATATAGTTGCAATTGCACATTTTTAGTGTGGTTGTTTTAAAAATTATTAACCAGTTCACAAGGTGAAAAAATCAAAACGAAATAGAAAGATATGCTAAGCCATCTAGCTCTGATTCCTTTTCTTTTACTCCATTACTTCTCCATTTGGAGGTAAACATTATTAGTTTCTTATTTACCTTTATTTCTTATTTTGCAAGGACAAATGCAAATATTTATATTCTTGTTTTCCTCTTTTTAACACAAAAGATAACATACATAATGCATATTCCATATCAGGCTTTTTTCCTTTTACAATATACTCTGGAGTCTGTTCTATGTCAAGACATAGAGAACCTCTTCCTTCCTTTTTACGGTGGCATGGTATTCTGCTGTGTAACTGTTCTATTCCATGGAACCCATTCCTTAAAGTGACTGTGTTTTCAATCTTTTGCTATTACAAATACTGCTGTGATAATGGCCTCATGTGAGCATTATTTCATGCAAGTGCAGATTATATAGAGAGTAAATAATGTGCAGGATTGGTTTGCTGGGTGAAAGCATAAAAACACCAGTAATTTGGGTAGGTATTGCTGTTACATGTCAATTTTCTTCCCAGAAACCTCTGTGGCCAGTAGTATCTTTGCCTGAGTTCTTGTCCTGCATCCAAGAAGAATGAGGTATGCAGACAAGTGAAGGATGAACAAAATGAAGAGAGCATTATTTAGTGTTTGAACAGCTCAGAGGAGACCCACAGTGGGTAGCTCAGGCAGCTCCTCTCTGTAGGAAGGTCGTCTTGTGGAGTGTTCAGCTCTCAGCAGAGAGGAGGCCCTGGAGAGGGTGGCTTCTCTCCACAGGCAGGTCTTTCAGGCATCTCGGCAGGTCTCCGAAGCTCTCAGCAGAGATGGTAGCTCCTCTCTGCAGCTTGTCATCCTTTCACATCTTTAGCCTCTGGAGCCCTCTGGCACTGCTTCGGCTGAGCCCAGCAGCATTTATGGACCTCAGAGGGGAGGAAGTATGTGCTGATTGGTCCATGGGCGGGCCTGGAGGAGGTACCAAAAGTCCCCACTCTTTTGGCAGGACTGGCAGCCCAGCCCCCAGCCTTATCAGGGACCTGCTCCCTTCCGCCCAGGAATCAATCTGCCTCACGCTGCCATTCATGGTTCTGGAGCTTGGCCCCAACCCCCTCCCAGATTGGAGCAGGTGCTGGGAAGGGAGAGAAGCCAAGTAGCCGGAGCGGACACCCACAAGCCTGCAAGGAATGGGTGGGGGGGGGGGCCCTTCCTGGGCCCCTGAGTGTGCAGGCTGCAGAGATACCCTGGTCCTGTACCTGGGAGAGCGGCAGCAGCTACACCGGAGGAGCTCCTGCCCTAACTGGGAAGGGGCGAAGCTCCCTCTTGTCCCCAGCTCCTGCCTGCTCCGTGGAGTAAGAGACCCAGGTCTGCAGCCATGGGTCGGGCAACTGCAGCTGCATCCAGTAGGGCAGATCCTGCCTGCTCCCTGACCCCCTCCAAGAACACGGGGAGGCTCAGATCCACAGCCTTAGAGCAGGAGGCCCAGGTCTGCAGCCGGGTTGGGTGGGCTGCAGTGGCACCCGGGGCATTCCTGCCCCAACTCAGAAGAGGTGGGGCTCCCACCGGCTCCACGGAGTGTGCAGCCCCAGCCGTGCCTTTCTGCTGCAGCTGGCATGATGGTAGCGGCTGCTGCCATCATTGCATATTACCCGTCCTGTGGGCTATATCATTTTACATTTCATCAACGAAATAATGTCTGTTTCTCCACAGCCTCACCAGTAATGTCTCACTTTTAGTTGGGAGTTAAGAGATGGTAATGTTGTTTCAATGTGCGTCTTTCTGATTTTGAGTAAGGTTGGATATCTTTTCATGTGTTTAAGGACCATTTTTTTCCCTAAATGAACTGTCTGTTCATGTTCCTTGTCCATTTTCCATGGGATGCCTAATCTTCTTCCAGTTATCTATGTGCATTTTATTAGGGAGATTAGCCATACTTATCTGTGATATATGTTGCAAGTATTTCCCTAAATTTGTTATTTGTCTTCTGACTTTCCACACGGTGTTCTTAGATACTTCATATCTTTTTCCCTGCTAAGACACTAGTATCAGAGGGGGCAGGTCCCACATCTCTTTTGCTGCCATTATGCCCCCAAAGCCATTACGGTTCTCCATCTATAAAAAAAGAAAAAGTGACACTTGTTACAGTTGGTGTCTAAAGCCCTCTTCAGCTCTGAAAATCTATGATGCTGCTTCCCATTCTTATGTTTGGTTTACTCAGGTTTTCTGCCTTCCCCTCCCTCTGTTGCTGAGCTTGGGCATGGGGGTGGCGCTTACACATGGGGCTATGTGGTGGCTACATGAGAAGTGCCCGGAAGGGCTCTCTCCCCTGAGTACCCCACCTCATTGTCATTTGGCGTGTCACTATTAGGGATGCATTCTCTCTTCTCGACCCGCATTGCCTTTATTTAGGTCTTCTCTGCCTCTTGTCTGGATTTGGGCCAGACTCCAAGTTTGTCTTCCTGGGTCCTGTATATTCACCTCCCAGATGACATTTCTTATAGACTAGCCCCACTCAAGATATTTTTCCCATCTCAGTTTCTTGTATTGCCTATTGCCTTTATTACTAAAGTGCTAGTGCCGTCCATAATAAGTCTCAAACTATACCTTCAAGGAGTGTCCCATTACTCTCCTGGATAGCCTCTGCCCCATCACACAGACTACTCACCATCATCCACCTCTATCCTCAGCTGGTTCTTCTGTCATGCCCATCTTCTATCCAGGTGTATTAGATCATTTTCACATTGCTGATAAAGACATACCTGAGACTGGGAAGAAAAAGAGGTTTAATGGACTTACAGTTCCACATGGCTGGGGAGGCCTCACAATCATGGCGGAAGGCAAGGAGGAGCAGGTCACATCTTACATGGATGGTGGCAGGCAAAGAGAGAGCTTGTGCCAGAAAACTCCTCCTAACATAACCATCAGGTCTTGTTAAACTTATTCTCTATCATGAGAACAGCACAGGAAAGACCTGCTTCCATAATTCAATCACCTCCCACTGGGGCTCCTTCCACAACACATGGGAAATGTAGGAGTTACAATTCAAGATGAGATTTGGGTGGGGGCACAGCCAAACTATATCACCAGGCCCAATTCTACCTGAAAAATATTGTCCATTGCTCCCATCTTCCTCCCAAACTGGGATAAGACTCTGCTTTCCAAGGGCCCTTAATCGTTTGAATAAGAGATCATATTGTGTATTTTTTCTTGGAAGATGCATGGCTCCCTATCTACAAGAGTAGAGTTTCTTTGAGGGAAAAAATGTATTCTTTGTAATCTTTATAAGGTTCTGCAAGAAATCCTCCCTGAGGCATTTATTGACTAGAATGAAAGTGACACTCACTCCTGGGAAATTAAATTTTAATTTAATTTGCACAGTACTCCTGGGATGAGTAGCAAGTTAAGTCTTAAGCAGATAGGAGTTAATTAGTTGAGTGATTCATTTTTTTCTTACATGAGTGTGCACTCCTGTGTAGGTGTGAAAACATTAGTGTACACCACTGCGTAGGGGTGTGTGTGTAAACAAATGTGCATGCACCATCACATTCTGGTGGAAGGGGAACAATGTCAAAAAAAAAAAAAGGGAAAATGTGTAGCGGTTAGCTACAAAGGCACTGAAGGAGTGTTTTTACTTTATGGTTTCACCAAAGATTAATTCTGCTCATTCTTGAAATAGCCTACCCCATTATTCTATCAAATTATATATTTTCTGTCTGTTTACTTTTCGTTAAAATTTATCCATGAAAACTTTTTTAGTTAACCCATAACCCTCAGCTACTTTATATCACCCTGATAGGTTAACACAGCTCTGCACAGATGTGTTAAGACATGAATGAAGTAGTTCAATATGATTTGTCTCCTGTTCAGATTGTCCCTCCTGGGATAGTACTTCCTAATTTAATGTTGAAGTTTTTCTATAAAAATTGTTCATAAATATTTGAAAGTGAAAGAATTCTCCCAGATATTTGATCTGGGACAGATCCCAGTGATCTCCCACAACACTCTCATTTAGCTCTGCCCATGACTACCTGGAATGAAGGTTACATTTTTCAAGCTTCACTTGCAGCTAGGAATGTCCAGTGACCAAATTCTGGTCAACGAAATGTAAACAGAAGTGTCACATATAAGTTCTAGAAATCGTCTTTAAAGCAAGAGGGCACCGTGTTTTGGACTCTTTCCTGTTGAGAGGGATACTGACATAACAGATGAAACTCCAGCAGCAATCTTAGCCCATAAGGTAGAAATGTGGTGCTCAAAATGGCAGTACCAGCAAGGTAGAATGGGCCTGAGTTGATGATGACTTTCTGAACATGCCTTCTAGACTTCTTACCTCCAGTTTTCTTTTGCAGGAAAGAGAAATAAGACTTCTATCTTATTTAGGCCTTTGTTGTTTATGGTTTCTTTATTCACAGTTTAACTAAATCCTAATTGAATATAGCTATAGAGAGGGCAGGGCTTGGAGAACTGCAGACAGCCCTCAAATGAGACCCTAAATGATGCTTTGTCTAGAATTTTTAAAAATCCTTAAAAAGGAGAGGAAGAAGATCAAAA